GAGAGAGAGAGAGAGAGAGAGAGAGAAACATCAATAATGAGAGAGAATCATAGATAGGATGCCTCCTGCACTGGGAAATCCCACTGGGGATTTAGCACACAACCCAGGAATATGCCATGACTGGGAATCAAACCATGACCTCCTGGTTCATAGGTCATTGCTCAACCACTGAGCCACACCGGCCGGGTAAGTTATTGTAGTCTTGAGAAAGTTCCTGTTTTCACTTCCCTTTGGTGTATTTATTCTTTTTATTGTTAGGATTATTATTAGATTCTATTATTACCCTCATGTGCCTTTGAGTGAGAAGGTCTAAGGGTACAGTTATTTTTAAACGATCTGACAGGTCATAAACTAGATATTTGTATCTCCTATATGAGTTTCTAGAATGAATTCCAGTCCTGTGGTGCTACATTGGCAGAAAACAAATTTGAGTGCAGATTTATCTATTCTGATTCTAGGGAGAAAATGAAGAGCAACTTGTAAATTCCATGGGAAAGGGTGGAAAGAGTAAACGGAACACTAATTGGCAGCTGCATTCATGAGGAACTTTCCAGGCTCCCAGTCTCCCTTGCTGGATTGGGGGAACTCTGCTGATGGAGATTCTTCCCAGTTCCAACACCTCAGAACTCTGCCCCTCAATTTATAGTGACTGAAAATCCTTCCTTGAGATTTGCCTGATATGGATATTCTAGCCTTTGGGGCCGCCACTGGGGCTACTGTGCAGAAGCACCTTTGGGGTGACAAGATATTTTGAGATGTGGAGCAAGAATGTTTGATGTTTGAACCAGTTATCTAATGGCCTAGTGACCTCTTTATCAATTGAAACATAAAGCTTTATATTTAACCTAGATTTAACTACTCAACTACTTGGGTGTTAGGGAGCCAGTTTATTCTCGTCTCTTCTCTTTTCTTCTCTTCTCTTCTCTTCTCTTCTCTTCTCTTCTCTTCTCTTCTCTTCTCTTCCCTTCTAATTTTTCTCTGCCTTTCTCTATCTCGCCCCTCCTTCTCAGGTCCCTCTTTGCTCTCAATTTGATAGCAAAAGAACACAATACAAGGATGTAACTGGTTGGAAAAGATAGCTATTTTCAGATAAGCCAAACATTTTATCCAGGCTGAAATCTAACTGAAAACATTTATTATTATTATTGCTTAATCCCTCATGTGACAATGTAAAATGCTTTCTTGTGAAAAAAGCTGGCCCTACTCTGATTTATAAATGTCTCCCTGAAGTGTTTTCTGAAATCATTATCAAAAATGGTAAATAGCCCTGGCCGGTGTGGCTCAGATAATTGGCTCATCATCTCGTACACCGAAAGGTCTCGGGTTAGATTCCTGGTCAGGGCACATACCCAGATTGCAGGTTCAATCCCTGGTCCAGGTTTGTTCAGGAGGTAACTGATCAATGTTTCACTCTCACACCAATGTTTCTCTCTCTCTCTCTCTCTCTCTCTCTCTCTCTCTCTCTCCCTCACTCCCTCCCCCCTTCTCTCTCTCTAAAATCAATAAGAGCATGTCCTGGGGTGAGGATTTTTTTTAAGTGGTAAATAAAAGGGAAAGGAATTCAAATATATCTCTATATCTAGCTCTATCTACCTAGCTAGCATCTACAGTTCTCTTATTTCTTTTTCTCTCTCCCCACCCCTCCCATGAGGGGAGAGGAGAGGAAGGGAGACAGAGGGAGAGAGAAGTTGTGTGTGTGTGTGTGTGTGTGTGTGTGTGTGTGTGTGTGTGTGTGTGTGTGTGAATGTGTGCTTCTATAAGTACACGGATGATTTCTGTTCTAGGTATAGAGGTACACACAGTCGTGGCCATGTCATATAGTGGAAAAGAAACACAGGCTTGGAAATCAGATGTGACTTTACATCCAAGCTCCAGCTAGCTGTTTGACCATAGATAAGTTGTTTAACCCGTCTGGTTCTTAATTTCTTCAGTAGTAAAATGAAGCTAATCATATTTACAACCTATTAATATATAAAATTAATTTATGTGGAAAATAGTATTACACACACTAGAATAGCAAGAGAAATATTCCATCTGTTCCTAATCATGTTACTCAGTTAACTTTTGTAGTAGGGTCACCCTGAATATTGAATTGAATTGAGTTTTGAAAGGTGATATATTCTAATCATTTGAACCTTGAGTTATTTCAAATCAATAATTATGCACCATCTGTGGCAGCATTTTTGTTTGTGGCCACTCAGATTAGAGGTGTTTTAGTCATAGCTCTTACAAAGAGTTGCTGTATTCTTTTGTGTCTGCTTTACTCATCTGCTTATTAGATGTCAGTATTAATTGCAATTATTTTTTAAATATATTTTTATTGTTGATAGTATTACAGGTATCTCCCATTACCCCCCTTATTGCAATTAATTGACCAGCTATATCATTGTTATTTTATGTGGATTACATTGTTAAATGAACTAAAGGGCCACTTTTGAAATTATCTGTAAAAATAGTTCTGCAGATGCAGATTCATCCATCATCTTCATCATTAACGTTATTGAATAATGTACAAAAAACATTCGGCTTCATGAGACTCACATTTCTGAGGAAATGAGACATTCTGGTTTAGCTGTTCTAGTAGTTAGAATTCAGCATAAATGTATTCTCTTAATAAAATATTGTAAAGATGATACTCATGCAACCCCTCTCAGTTCAGGAAATAAAACATTGTCAGAACCCCAGATGCCACGTCCAAATCACAACTCCCTCCTCCTGAAACCACTATCTTAACTTTTATCTCTTCTTTTAAAGAAGAAAATAGTTTTACCATGACGTATGGATCTCTAAACAGTGTAATTTAGTTTTGCCTATTTTTCAAAAAAACCTTTATATAAATGGAATTATTCAAAATGTATTCTTTTGTTCTGGCTTCTTTACCTCAGTATTAAGAGTTATCCGCCCTGACTGGTTTGGCTCAGTGGATAGAGCGTCGGCCTGCAGACTCAAGGGTCCCAGGTTCGATTCCGGTCAAGGGCGTGTGCCTTGGTTGTGGGCACGTCCCCAGTGGGGAGTGTGCGGGAGGCGGCTGATCGATGTTTCTCTCTCATCGGTGTTTCTAGCTCTCTATCCCTCTCTCTTCCTCTCTGTAAGAAATCAATAATATATATATATATTTTAAAAAGAGTTATCCATGTTACTGCAGGTAGGTAGAACTTGTTCATTTTCATTAGTGTACATATAGTGTCCTATTGTAGGAATCTCTCA